TTCATCATTGCCTTTTGTCTTATTAGCAAATATATAATGTTTAAGTTTTCGTCTTTGTGGATCTTTATGCAGATAAAAAGGTCCGGAAGACCAAATCAATATCTTTCTTATGCCCGTCGGGTCTCAAGGCCAGTAGAAACTCTAATCTACATCAAAACCAATAGAGAAACGTCAAGTAAATAACACTATAATCCTTATTTTTGTTTCAATTTATTGATAAACTATAACTGCTAGTAGGAAATTAATTCATATTTTCTGTTTTGACTATGAATATTAATTATGATCCTATTAAATCATTATATTTTAAGTACATTTGACTGAGAAAGGTGAATATCGAACAAGCTGTATATCGGACTGCCTGCTAAATTCACATTCATATCGTGCGCGCTTTAGCTTTAAATTTAAGACATTGCATAACAAAGGTGCATACTTGCATTATACTTTAAAGTGTTAAATTCTTAACATTTATATAATTTCTCATGCACAATTTGAGGGAACATACTTATTTATAAAATGTAAGATGTTGACATTTTCTAGAGTCGTTAAATCATAACTTAATAATGTGTTAGATTACAGACTATAGAAATGCCTCTCTTGTGTAATTCGCAACAATCAGCATCTTTCTTTCCTTACTAAAATGAATCGACCAGGACATGAGAGCTGTTGTTTGACGCTCTTGAATCTTTAGATCTTGAAAAATCTAGTTTTGGTTTACTCAGTTTAAGAGCAGATGGTGCGAAGGAAGCAGCCACTGCTAGTACAAGATTATTCAAGAAACAATAAAGATTGGTATCTGAAGTAGTGAAGTGACATTAACCATAAAATTTAATTTTTAGTGCACCTACCTTATACACGGCTCAATTATATATCATTCGAAAGCTTATCATCTGTTCCTACTGTTTTGTCCGGTCGTACAAAACTCGTACGGTGCATTTTCTGTGAAATCAATATCAAAGGTCAAGGACGAACACTTTCGTATTTTCCAAGATGTCTGCATTATTGCAGATACTGCCTTTACTATATTGAAATAATATATGCAAATAAGGAAAACCTTTAGAAGAGAGATTAATAGTCACTTACCATACGGACTTTGAAGTATTTAAAACGTATTTTTCATAGACACCACCTTTTTCAGAAATTCTAGTAAAATGATAAAACTGAGTGAAAAAAATGTGATTCAACTGGTTTATGTAATCACACCTTAACTCAAATAAGATTTTTTGTTTGATGATAAAGACATTTTTTACTACATCAGTTTATTACAGTTACGCTTAATGCTAATTGAAGAGCCATTATAACAACTCAAACAGTTGCCTAAAATACCGCCATCTGTGAAATCAGCTATTTGATAGATATACTTACTGTAGGTGTGATGCGATGATTACAGCTATGAATTTTCTCCTTAACAATTTTTATGTACGTTACGGCAATAAAGTTTATCGACAGATTGTAGGTATTCCTATGGGCACCAATTGTGTCCCTTTAATAGCAGACTTGTTCCTGTACTGTTATGAATCACAGTTTATGGCCATACTCAGTAAATACCCGTCTAAATTCCATTTAATTGATAAATTCAACAACACTTACCGTTATCTTGATGATATTTTTTTCGTTAACTAATCAAAAATTCTCCAAATATACTGCCGAAATTTACCTAAAGCAACTTACTTTAAATAAATCATATATTAACAGCAATAAGTGTTCTTTCCTAGATTTAGATATTTTAGTTTTACACCAGAAACTCTACAAAAACAATTAACAACAAAAGGCATGATTTTTCTTTCCCTATTGTTAATTTTTGTTTTTTGGACGATGATGTTCTTCTGATTCCATCTTACGGTGTTTATATATCCCAACTCGTTCGTTATGCCCGTGTCTGTTGTGACGTTTTGGATTTCAATGAGCGTAATCTATGTATAACTGGTAAATTATTAAGTCGGGGATTTCGTTACCACAAATTACTTAAAACCTTTACTAAATTCTTCCATAGATACAAAGATTTGGTTTACAGGTTTAGCTGTTCTTGAAAAAAAACTTATTTCAGACGGAATTACACATCCTAAATTTTTACGGTGATGTTGTTTACCGAGCCCGGAAACTTATATACGATTCGGGTAAACTTATCAATCCTGTAAATATATTTATTCTAAAAGGTTACCAATTCAACACTTTAATTAGATCTTTGAATATTGTTTTTATTGGTATAAATATTGATTTTGTTATCAGTAAATCAAAATCATACTAATAGTTTTTTATACACATATGCACTTTAAAGGTACTACAATCTGTCGATCCTTAATGTTGGCATTGCACAAGGTCATGTTTTTTGTCTGACTGTTAATGACGTTTTTACACTAGATCCATTGGATGTTGGATGTATACTGATAGATATTTTAGTCTTAGAAACATGATTTTTTTTATTAGTTGTTTCGAACTAGCTGTCAGTAACTGCGAGTACTCTCAGATCTGTAAATAGTGTCCTTTCTATTGTTAGCGATGGGGGATGGATAATTATCCAGCCACGTCCGGTCTGTGTTTATTTTTGATGTTTTTCTGCTTTGTATCGATATGATGAGTTAAGCCCTTTTCAACTGATTTTTTTATAGTTTGTTCTTATGTTGTGCTGTTACACCACTGTTCCAGGTTAGGGGAGGGTTGAGCGCTCACAAACATGTTTAACCCCGCCACATTCTGTATGTGCCTGTCCCAAGTCAGGAGCCTGTAGTTCAGTGGTTGTCGTTGGTTCATGTCTGTCATATTTGTTTTTCGTTAATTGTTTTGTTAAAAATTAGGCCGTTAGTTTACTCAATTAAATTGTTTCATATTTTTCTTGGCGGGGCCTTTTATAGCCGACTATACGGTATGGGTTTTTCTCGTTGTTGAAGGCCGTACGGTTGCCTATAATTGCTTACATCCACTTTATTTGGTGGATGTTGTCTCGTAGGCAATCATACCTCATCTCCTTATTTTTATATTTACCTATTAGTACGTTAATACATTGTATCTTGTCAATATAAGGTTGTTTAGAAACACAATGCTCAAAAAGATGGAAAACATTTAAAGAAAATAATACACGAGGGTATCATGCTTTTGGTGGTAGTTTAAGGTGGATTTAAAGTTTCACAGTTCAAAATGGATTCTAACAGCTAGTCTGAAAGAAAGAAAAACTTGTTCGATTTTTCTTATTATTTGATTTGTATTTTTATAATCAACATTGAGTGATATAATTAAAAGACTTTATTTATACAATGTTGATAAAAAAAGTAATACAAATGTATACACAAATAAATAAAAAATCAATTGATGGAAAGTGAAATTTTAGAAGAATGTTCTTATCTTTGATAACTTTTGTCCTTTACAATTAGAAAACTTGTATTTTTGGCTACTTCTACTGCAGTATGCCTTGTTTATTTTTTTTTTATATAAATTTATCGATTAGAGATAAAGATGCTACAAAATACCGAAAATTCAAAACGGAAAGTTCTTTATCTAACGGCAAAATGAAAAGGTCAAACACATCAAACTAATGGAAAACAACTGTAGTATTCCTAACTTGGTACAGAAATTTCCTTATGTTGAAAATGATGGATTAGCCCTTGTTTTATAGCTAGTTAAACCTCTCACTTGTATGATAGTCGGATAGAATTAAATTATACTGACAACAATGTGTGAGCAAAACGAACAAGACATAAAAGGTAAAAATGTCAAAAATTGGGGTACAGAGGTCAACATTGTGTTATAATCTTAATCACTATTAAAACAAATATCTATTTCAACAAAGAAAAATATGACATATAGAAACTCTACGGAAAAGTGACATAAGCAAAAAAACTATCATATACTAGACATTGTGAAGATTACTCGGCCTCTCCGCAGTAAAAAATCTTGTAGGAATACGTAATGTTCAAGAATCTGATCATTGACATGTTGCAGTAACATTAACTTTCACTCCACCTTTCTTAAATTCTCTGTTGATAAGTTGAGAAAATGTTTTACATTTGTCATTTCAATGCCTTTTAAAGATTATTCTGTGGTATGGATTTGCTAATTGTTGAAGGCCGAATGGTGACCTCTGATTGCTAATTTCTACATCATTTGGTCTTAGGTGAATATGTCTCTCATTGGTAGTTAAACCACTTCTCTTTATATCTATATAAAACCATTGAAGTTGCTGTTTGAAAATTTGTATTTGCTGCTTCTCTCAAAAGCACCTGGCATGTAGGAGTAAGAACACAGACTTATCTGCTCGGAGTCAGAATAAAGTGTCCGGGTAGGGATTTTAACACTGCTTAGAACAAAGTAGGTTCTATATTCCCATCACATTATCATGTTCTTGTCCTGAATGTGCATTCAATTTACCATAGGAGGTTAAACAGCCAGCAAGCCATCCATCCAACAATCGAACGTCCCTAAGTAGACCAATCGAGAAAAAACGGAATAATTCTGCAACCAATATGAGCATTTTTGACTTAAATGACTTTAATGACATCAACTCAGACTATATAAATTTGTTTGGTACTGAATACACGATTTAACAATAGGTTTACATGTAAACCACCTCCTACAGTCACTACCTCATAATCATGATAATTAAAAAAATATGTCAGTTTACAGAACGTAAGAATGCTACTCTTGCTTTGTTTGCAACATATACTAATATTTATCGAGATTGGGATGGCGTGATCTTAATTTCCAGATAAGTTTTAGTGTTATTTTCCGTAGATAGAGATAATTATGACATTGTTTGACTTATGCCATACTACCTTAAAATTATCATCATTATCTTCATTATCTTCAGAAATGTCCCCCAGGGATTTTGCTATTTTTTAATGTTTATGTCATCCCAAATATATAACCTGTATACTTGAACAAACTGAATGTGATGAGAGCAGAATATTCAACTTTGAAAAGCATTTAATGCATGTTATGACTGAAAATGCAGTCTATGTACTTTTCACAAAAAAATATTTATCTGTGTTAAACGTCTTCTTTAATTTTACATATAATTGAGAAGTGTGTTATTTTACAGAATATAAAAATGCCTTATCTTTGTTATTCACAACTAGTAGCACATTCCTTTCCCTACTGATATGAATCGAACGTGGATTAGAGAGGCCATCATTTCTAGATAACAGTTGTCGGTGTCGTTGTCCATCGGTAGATATTATTATGACATTGTTTGATTTACGTCCTACTACGTACAGATTACCATCATTATCTACAGCGATACCTTGTGGGGTTTGCAAAACGCTTTCATTTTGAAATATCCAATGTATTTTACCTTGTAGATCATAACATGTTACGGTGTTTTTGTCTGGATTTGTATGATAAAGCTTGTTGGCAAATGTTGAAACGTAGCAGTAATACGGCATTTCATCTCCGACAATTTCAATAATGGTCTCGTCATTTGGATTGATCATTCGAATTCCATTTTCACTTCCAGAATAAACTAATTTGGGTCCCCTACATGTTATTCCATATATCCACCCATTTACAAAAATAGTTTTCGTGACTTTTTGGATATGCATGTCAATTATAGAAATGCACTTGGAACCAGAACCACCAGATGATACAGCCAAAGTATTGCTTTCTGTTATGAATACCACATCAAAGGGTGATAAGTCAAATTCTATTTCAAAACTCAGCGATCCATTTGCGTTCAGCACGATAACAGTACCAGTGAATAACGAACTGCTGGAAAATACAATCCTTCCATCTGGAAGCAAACATGTACCAACAGTGTCTTCAGATTTCTTTGTATTAATGGTCTGTTGTAATTTTAGATTGATATTTTCAAACCGTTTGGATGGTACTTTTGTCACCATCATTTGAGCTTGGTTTTGCTTGTTCGCGGTAAGGTCAAGGTCGGACGGTTTACTTTCAACCATGATCTTTCCGAAAGTTTGGATATCGGAAATGATATTTTGCATTGCAGTGTTGATATCCAATGACAGAACCATCGTTTTCAAATTCTCGTTACCGGATATTGACCTGAGGTAATCATCTTTGCCAGAAACCTCCTTTTCAATTCGTGACATTGACAAAAAAGTCTGAAGATCCGAAGCATGTTGTTTGATATCGGATAGGTTCTCCTGTAATATTGCAATCTCTCCTTGTTTTTCCTCCAAAGAATGTAACAGTTGATGGATTTTCTTACTCTCCGTGTCTTCGAATGCATATAGCTCCTTTATTAGATCGGCTTGTATTTTGTCGATATGATTATTGATCGCTGATCGGATGTCTCGGATTTCCTTCTCAATTTGCTTCCGAGTCTCAGATAATGTCTTCATGTTCTTTTGTCGGTCTTTTCTGATTTTCTCAATATTTGCAGATACATCTGCCAATGTCTGCTCAAATTCATAGAAAGCATTTGATGTTTTGGCGTTATGAATGACGTCATCCAGTTTTACGATTTCATCGCATTTAGTGTGATTTTGTACAATGCAGTCGCTACAACAAGGGCATTCATGCTTCTTGCAGTAAATGATATATTTTTCATTGTGCTTTTCACAAAACTGAGAAACTTGAACTACATTACTAGGTATTTTGTGATATTCAGAAATTTGAATGACAGCATGATTTCGAGATGCTTTAGATAAAATGTGGTGTTCCTGACAACCTTCGCAAAGTCCTTCATCACATTCAGTACACCAGACCACAGAAGGGATAGATGCATGCCGGAGATCACAAACACCGCAATTTAAAGATGAAGTCGCCATTATAAAATTTAGGATGTTCACCCTGAAAATGAAATATTATAATAATAGCAAAAGTTGTCATTTCGAAGTATCATAAGAAATCATGGCTTTGAATTCCTGACATTACTCTTATTCAAATTTCACATCTGATGTAGTATTTATGAATTCTTTTATAGCTTTGAAACTACTTTGAAGGATTGTTGTCACTTGTTCAATATATAGGAAGGAAATGTTTAACTTTAATAAACGGTCCATGAAAGATGTGAAAATGAGCCCATTTTAATAAAGTTCATCTAATGATTGTTAATAGTATAGCGTGTGATATATAGTTATAATTTCACATCAAATGAATTATATATGCTAATATTCACCTTAAACAACCGTCTTTATCTTAATATCATCTCAAATGCGATGATACAAAAATGATCAATATTGTGAAAAAGTGCAACTTATTTTTCAGGTATTATCTCTGTTAAATTCAGAAGACACCAAAATGGCGTCCAAAACTTGAAAAGGGCATTTTGCATTAGGGAAAACAAACTTTCACTGCAAATCCTAGATATTCATTTTTTTGTCATTAAAATGGGAAATTTTTTTGGAAATCTGACTGAAACAGTCTTATAGGTCAAAACAATGCGTCAGAAAGATAGAAAAAATGCCATGTTGTAAAATTTGAATACCCTGTTTACGAAATCCAGCTTTTCTCCAACAATTCTGAAATCATAAACGGTGTTGTTCATGTTGTTGAATTAAATCAATAGTTTTTAAATAATGCTACTCTATAATTGAATCGAATTGCTGGCGCACGCATTACTAAAGACCGAAACATGATGGCTTAAACTAGATATATAACCATACTGTACTATTGGAATATACACGTGTCCCTTCTCTTATCCAATAAATATGAAAGGCTAGGAATTTGTTGTTGTCATAAGCTGTCATTTATACTTGATTCGAATGGTTTTGAATTTCTGGAAAAGTATTTCTATAGACCGAAAAATGCCGTCTATACATTGAAAAAATTACATATTTCGGGGGGTGGTCCCCTTTCAATCCCCAACTGAAGACAGTTTTACAATCCTATGCTGTTTTAAATCAATAACTAGACACAAATTACGATCTGATTATATCGAATTTCTGAATAAGTATACCCAACAGCTCTGTGTCGTACTGTTAGTGAAAATGGTGATCAATGTTATCATTTTTCTAAGAAATGTAAGTACTGTAGATATCTAGTAACGATTAAAAGTTCAAATTGGAAAGGTAAAATTTCGATAGTCAAAAGGGCATTGACGAGAAGCACAACTCAACCAACATTTACCTTCAAACAAATTCAAAACTTGGATATGGAAGAAATTCATAATACATTTTATTTGAATATTTTGACTAGTCTTATTTCTGATAAAGGAACTCACTGTGAATCAAACATTTGTTTTTGGTGACACATTCACACATGGTGTAAGATGAAAATCATATATGATGAATCTATTGAGGGATATTTACGACTAGGTGCAAATATTTCATCCATGTTTAGGATGAAAACAAATTAACAATTAGATCATCCAGGATGAAGAGCAACAATTGTGGACTACCATTTCGAAATAAGGTATGTTTGATAGGGAAGAAATGTTGCCTTGCAAAATGCCACCTACTTATCCCTCAGAGGGTTGCTGCAAAATTAACGTGCCGCGATCAAGATTACCCCCCACACCCCGGCACGAGGTTTCGGATTCCTCGTTCCCATTCCTAGTTGACTTGATTGTGTGTTTATCCATCATGTACAGTCAAACGAACGCTCCATTTTAGCCAGATATCATATATTTTGTACCCAATCAACCCGCTTTCGCACGTGACAGTTTTTTCCTTGATTTTTAAAAGTATTTTCGACATTTTATTTCAATTGTTTCGTTAATATGTTCCAATATTTTTTCTCTAATTACTTGTAAGCATTTGGCGACATAAATGCCAATGGGCAACAAAAACTACAATTCGAAGATGAAGAGACAACCCAGATAATTGTTTGTAATTGTTTGTTTTGATGTTCATTGGAAACTGGTTTATTCAAAATTTAGCCCAGATTAGATTAGAAAAGCCATTAAAATGCAGATTTTGCTTGAAATATTATCCGGGATGAACGGAGTACTAAGTCGGTCGCATCGATAAAGAGACGCCTTGTTTAGCTAGAGAAAGACTTTCCTTAAACCCAACAGCCCCTCCCCTCCGCCCCCTGTCCCGGATGGGGGATAAGCATCACTGAACAGACATTTATTGTCAAAATGCGCATCTGGTGCTGAAAAATTAGTACCGTTTATTAAAGGATTAGAACATTGGAAACAGCGGTCGAATTAATGTGTCCGTGAGAGGTAACCAGTGAGGTTTGGCGAACTATGTACGCAGTAAAATAAACTGGAGTTGTTCCCTACTTGTCACTTTCGTTTCCTGTAAAATGAGTACATACTTAATTTACATATCTTTTTAATTGATTTAAGACGTAGTTTATGAGTACAAAACATTATCATAAATGATCCTGTTGGAGTAATTATTTTTACCTGAAAATTACGACTATTTCACTGTACTTGGTTAAAGGGCGACCAGGAAAGTAAATATACAACTGATCACGTGATCATATGACTTTTTGTGTTAAACAGTTCACGATAAGCATGATACAGGTATACACATACAGTTAAAGTGCACGGTTTATCTTAGATATGTTTGAACATTTCTTTATTCTAAATATGTTTTAACATCGATAAACATTAATGTTTGCTTAATTTATTGTATAATATTCTATGGATGGGACAACACTTCATTCAATAATGATTTTACAATTTTATTAAGAAAATGAAAAACAATATTTCCGACTGTAAAGTTCCACTGGTGATTCGCAAGGACGATAATAAGACAGATCTCTGAATAAAATATTTTTACTATCTAACCTTAACTTTTTAGTTTCTTTAACTGAGTATATTTGACGATTTATTAGAAGGGCATTAGCTGCGATTAAGCCAACAAATTAAGTATGATTGTTTTTGTTTAAAATATCAATAAAAGCGGAATATTAAAATAATTATTTGCTACCAGTTAAATTTGATTTTGATGAAATGAGATCAAAAACATCGCTGATATAGTATTGTCCTACAAGCCAACAATTCGACTTCGTATGGTTTCGTTTGATTGCAATCTTTAATTTGATCCTTATTTGGAGAGGTGGTGGGCATGTGCTCAGCATGTTCAGATATTTGAAAGAATATAACGTCAAACTTAGATAGTGAAATAAGGGAGTCTTATGTTTGTATCGGGTCTCATAAACATCAGATGCCATCTCATTGGTTATTAAGATGGCATCTAGTCTTCAAAAAGGCGCGAAATACTGATGCCTCATGGAATTTTATTACGGTTTTATCCATTTCCCCTATGAAACTTTTGTTTCTTGTCATTATCGTCTCATCGTTATAGATAAAAAAAGAGTTTGTATCAATTTGGTAGTATTTGACGGGCAATGTCCCTTTATGCAATTGTTCAAATAAAACTAAAAGTAAAATCAAAATAGATTACTGTTATCTGTATCACAAACATCAAAATCTACCTTGAACTATTAATATCTAATACAAACAAAGATTACGCAAATGTCCTAAAAACATACTTCACACATTTTCATATCCTTCAAGACCTGCTGTTTAAAAGGACTCTTAGGATTACAGATCGAGAATTTTTTTTCAAAATTAAAATAGATTACGTTTATCTTGATACCAAACATTTAAGTGAACCTTAATGTTTCAATAACCAAATTTGAACAGTTTAAAGGAGTCTTACGCATTCACATCGAGAACCTTAGATATTCCCATTCAAGTTTAAATTAACGTCCTGAATACTGCGTATTATTTATGTTACTTCCCTCATAGTTAAATGAAGAGTATAACATATACTATACAGAATATGAATTGAAATATACTTGTTTATATATCCCTATCGATTTCTATGTTATAAGATCTGTGAAAAGGATTTAACTTTTAAAATGTGTAGGGTAAAGTAGGGACAACAGCGGGTAACTCTAAAATTTCTAAATGCACATTTCGCAGCAAACTTGTGTTCATTCTTGATATACCGCTAACATCGAGTTGAAATTACAAATGTTGTTTGACATGTCTGTTGTCAGTTATTTATAATGAGTTTCTTTCATAATTATATGATTAGATATTTCAAAACTCGAGGAATATAGTTAATTGCAGGAATGGATTTACCTCTAGTCCAAAAGGTCACCCAAAGCATTCAAATAAAATAAAAGATCGACGATGCCAAATGTTGACATGCTATGTGGAGAACGCTTTTGCTTTGTGATTTGTAGTCAGACTGTGTGTATTGAATTGTTTTGTTTTTTTTTTTTTTTTTCATATTGTCTCAACCTATTCACTATTTACTTCAACAAAAGTGATGAATTAACAAAAAAATGATCGCGTTGTGTTAGGTTTTTGTTCTGTTTGAAGTTTCCTTCATGCTTAAATTTTCCTACATGGAAATCACTGGTTGAAAGCAACGGAAAGACATTTGATATTTCAAATGACTGTATTCAAATATACCTGTACTGCCATTAACTAATACTACAGATTTTATGGGAGGGTGACACTCACTTAACAAATTATTTATTTCTAAAGCTCTTCATTTTGCATTCGAAATGCTGTCAATGATTGTGTCCTAAAATTTCTTATTATCTAATATTGTACATATTAGGATTTCCTATCCTATCCCCCAACTCTCCTATCCTAACACCCTCCCCCCCCCCCCCCCAAAAAAAAAAAAAAAACCACAATAACTTGATATCCATAAAAGAAAAATTCTATCATGGATAAAATATCCGATACAATAAATATCCGATGCAATACTGAATGTCGACTCATTTGACAGGGACCTTGTCGGCAATTTGTACATTTTCCCTCTGATTCGTCTTAGATTGCGAACAAGACGTGATAATTGAAATTATTATACCTCAGTATGTTTTTTCTATATAAAAAAAATGAAATAATTGTACTATTTCATTCTACAGAC